AAAGCTTTAATGCGTCTTGAGAGGAGAGCATAAGCTTACCAGAGCGGAGACCCCGAGCCAAGAATCCCGTCCCCTAATAAAGGCTGGCAACCGCCACCTCGGACATGTTACCCCATGATTGGCTGTAGCTCATCGGACCATATGACGCCATAGAAGAGACAGAGATCAAGGAATGGAAAGTTACCCAGCGCCTGCACAATAACTTGTTTACATTCGGTGCCTGCCGGATGCAGGCGCCATCTTGTAATGGAGAATGCAGGGACGGCTCCCTACAGACAGGATTTGTGGGTAGTGGATGCTTCTTCAGGTCTTCTGAGCAGAAGGAAACTAAAGGATACTTTAGCCAGATGTGACCTCTGCAGTTTGTGTATGGGCAATTGGAAACCGAGCCCAAACCAAGGCTTGCTGATCTCTAGCTCTTGGCTTTCTTTTCCCAGTGTGACAGAGAGGTGGCACACATCTGTATCCGAAGGAATTATAGCCCCATTCTTCCTATTTACTTGTGTTTGTGAATTCAACCGGGGCTTCTTTATTGCAGCACCATTGACATTGGGGTCTGCATGATATTTGCTGTGGAGAAGGCAGGGTATCCTGTATATTATAGGATGTTTAGCATCATCCATGGACTCCATAAATGTGGGTAGCACCTCTAAGTTGTCAGAGCCAAAAATACAAGCATGGCACAGATTGTGTGTGCGTGTGTGTGTGTGTGTGTGTGTGTGCTATTAACAGGTGGTATAGGATGGGGTAGGGAAGAGCTGCTCAGTTCTATTGCAAGTCTGCCAGTCTGCCTTTCCCAATTTTACCTACTTATCTTTCTAAATTCCATCAGATTTTCTGCTTCCTTGGTTGGATTTTTTTTTTAAGATTTATTTGTATTGGCACATGCCTTAATCCCAGCACTTGGGAGGCAGAGGCAGGCAGATCTCTGTGAGTTCAAGGCCAGCCTGGTCTACTGAGTGAGTTCTAGGGCAGTCTCCAAAACAATACAGAGAAACCCTGTCTCGAAAAACAACAACAAAACAAAAACAAAAAGATTTATTTGCGTATGGGTGTTTTGCTTGCATGTGCATGTGTATACCACATGTGTCCCTGGTGCCTAGGGAGGTCAGAATAGGAAGTTGGATGCCCTGGGACTTGGGTTGTGAGCCACAATGTGGGTGCGGGGAAATGAACCCATGTTCTCTGAATGAGCAATAGGTGCTTTTACACTACTGAGCTATCTTTCCAGTGTGATATTTCTAAGTGGTAAAGCACCATACAAAATTTACAGTTTATGCTTGCTCTAATTATTTAGTTTTGGATACTAGAGACAGTGGGTTGAAAAGGTTCTAAGAACTGGCAGGAGTGTGGGTGCAGCTGATGGAGATCCAGTATGCTTGCTGTGGTGTTTTATTATTATTTTTTAAATAAACCACAGATGGTCATCTTTCCTTGAACCTCATTGTTCATCTTGGTTTCAATGGGATGGTAGCCATAGTCTGGTGAATTATATTTTGGCTTTACTTGAATCCTAGTTACACCATTTGGCAAACATGACCTTGAAGGAGTGAGTCTGTTTACCCCCACTCCAGCTTAGAACACCCATAAGCTCTTTAACCCTAGATGGCTATAAAAGTATAAAAACTAAAGAAAAAAAAGGAAAATTATCTAAATAGCATTTAACTTACAGTGTTTGATGACGATGTGTATTTACAGTCTTTTTGTTTTGCTATGTTTGTTTGTCTTGAGACAGGATCTCATGTAGCTCAGGCTGGCCTCAAACTTGGGATGTAGATGAAGATGACCCCGAACTCCTGATCTTCCTGTTTCCACCTCCCAGATGCTGACATTTCAAGTACACTCTGCCACGATGTGTTATATAATCACTATTTACTCATCCAATAAATTATTGGCTTGATTATTGGGGTGGAGAATATGGCCTTAACTGATTACTTGGACAGTTTCAGAGTACCAAAATATGTATAGAAGACGGTGATAAAAAGCTGGGAGGATTGAACCAAATATTAGCTCATAGTGAAGGCAGACAAGGAAACCTTCAAAGTAGCCCCAGAGAAGGAAGAATTTGAAAGAAGGACACCATCTTTGAAGAGATGACTCATTGGGAAATTCCATTAATTCTCAGCCCCAGAGAAGGAAGAATTTGAAAGAAGGAAAGGACACCATCTTTGAAGAGATGACTCATTGGGAAATTCCATTAATTCTTCTTGAGGCCCCTGTCCCAGAACCATGAGCATCAGCTAGGAGTTTGTCAGATAAGAAATCAGAAAGACCAGCCCCCATCCCACACTTGATCTCTAGATAGGGTATCCAGGTCCTCACTGAGTTTAATTTTGTTAGGCTTGTTTCTTATAAGTTACGGATTTTATAATCCATAGCAGAGAAGAAACAGCAAAGAAGGGGCAAAAAGATTTGAAGTGGGGACCAATTCAAGCGGAAATCAGGTAACAATTAATAGAAGATGGTAAAGCCCAAATATTAAGTCTAGATTTGTGCTCTTTTTAATGTAGATGTGGGGCAAATAGCCACAAACTCCCTTAATATCTTGTCGGTTATTACTTCACATTCTAAAAGTAGATATGTGTAATGTTGGCTTACAAGCCTCAAGCCGAATTTAAACTTCGTTTCATCTTTTCTATTTAAAACTACAATGGTATAAACTCCAGAAAGATTAAAAAAAAACATACGTTTAATGTTTTTAAGAAGAGTGTGTGTGTGTGTGTCTGCATGAGTACAGATGCCTGAAGAGTAGCAGAGACTCCTAGGATCCCATGGAGCCGGAGTTACAGGCAGTTGTGAGCTACAAGATGAGTGTTCTGGGCACTGAACTAGGATCCTCTGCTAGAGCAAAACCCACTCTTAACCACTTAGCCATGTCTTTTGCCAAAACATGTACTTGAAATAAAACAAAATTTGAGTATATTAAGAAGTCGGTTCTACTTTGTTGGGAATTTTACTTCCTGGCATGCTTTATGGGAGGAAAGAAACTGCTCAACGAGGCATCACAGTGGTTAAGAGGTCAGGAGCCATGCCCCATGCTTCATCCTACTTGAGCATACTGTAAGGATCCAATGAGGCATATTGGCTGATTACACTTCTCAGTAGGTGTTGTCAGAAAAATGGAGGGAGTTAATTATGTTATGTCATCATGCTGTTCCCACCCTGATTCCCAGCCCAATCATTGCATCTATCTTCAAAGCCAAACATCCCCTGCTGTTTTTGTTTTTGTTTTTATCCTGTATGTTTAGAGAAAACAAAATCCATGCTAACAGGGTAACTTTGCCTAGTGTATTTGTTTCCTTCCAGTAACGATGAACTCACTTGGGGATCCCTTCAGGAAATAGTCATCATAACTAGAATTCTTCAGAAGTTAGAGTGAATTTCATCCATTGTTAGCTGCTATGAAAGCCAGAGCAATAAGGATCAACTGTGAGCTATTAGTGAAGCCCCGTTAAATTTTTTAACCCTCTCATCTCTCTCTCTCTCTCTCTCTCTCTCTCTCTCTCTCTCTCTCTCTCTCTCTCTGTGTGTGTGTGTGTGTGTGTGTGTGTGTGTGTGTGTTATATTGCCTTTGGAAGCATCCTCAGCTGCTCTTTCACCTTATTCAATAGGTCAGAATCTCTCAATCACACCAAGAG